AGGAAGATGACCAGCCCATCCACCTCTAAGGAAGATGACCCAGCCCCACCCTCTAAAGGAAGATGACCAGCCCACCCACCTCTAAGGAAGATGACCAGCCCACCCACCTCTAAGGAAGATGACCAGCCCACCCACCTCTAAGGAAGATGACCACACTGCCCACCTCTAAGGAAGATGACCAGACTACCCACCTCTAAGGAAGATGACCAGACCACCCACCTCTAAGGAAGATGACCAGCCCTGCCCACCTCTAAGGAAGATGACCAGACCACCCACCTCTAAGGAGGAAGATGACCAGCCCACCCACCTCTAAGGAAGATGACCAGACTGCCCACCTCTAAGGAAGATGACCAGACCCACCCACCTCTAAGGAAGATGACCAGCCCACCCACCTCTAAGGAAGATGACCAGACTGCCCACCTCTAAGGAAGATGACCAGACCACCCACCTGTAAGGAAGATGACCAGACTGCCCACCTCAAAGAAAGATGACCAGACCACCACCTCTAAGGAAGATGACCAGCCCACCCACCTCTAAGGAAGATGACCAGCCCACCCACCTCTAAGGAAGAGGAAAAGGAAGATGACCAGCCCACTCACCTGTAAGCAAGATGACCAGCCCACCCATCTCTAAGGAAGATGACCAGACTGCCCTCCTCAAAGGAAGATGACCAGACCACCCACCTCTAAGGAAGATGACTGACCCACCCACCTTTTAAGGAAGATGACCAGACTCCCACCTCAAAGGAAGATGACCAGACCACCCACCTCTAAGGAAGATGACCAGCTCACCCACCTCTAAGGAAGATGACCAGACCCCACCCACCTGTAAGGGAAGATGACCAGACTGCCCACCTCAAAGGAAGATGACCAGACCACCCACCTCTAAGGAAGATGACCAGCTCACCCACCTCTCAAAGGAAGATGACCACCCCACCCACCACCCTATGGAAGATGACCAGCCCATCTCACCTGACCGGCCCCACCCAACTCTCTAAGGAAGATGACCAGACTGCCCACCCACCCACCTCAAAGAGGAAGATGACCAGCTCACCCACCTCTAAGGAAGATGACCAGCCCACCCACCTCTAAGGAAGATGACCACACTGCCTAAGGAAGATGACCAGACTGCCCACCTCAAGGGAAGATGACCAGCTCTGCCCACCTCTAAGGAAGATGACCAGCCCACCCACCTCTAAGGAAGATGACCAGCCCACCCACCTCTAAGGAAGATGACCAGACTGCCCACCTCTAAGGAAGATGACCAGCCCACCCACCTGTAAGGAAGATGACCAGCCCACCCACCTCTAAGGAAGATGACCAGACTGCCCACCTCAAAGGAAGATGACCAGCCCACCCACCTGTAAGGAACATGACCAGCTCACCCACCTCAAAGGAAGATGACCAGCCCACCCACCTCTAAGGAAGATGACCAGCCCACCCACCTCTAAGGAAGATGACCAGACTGCCCACCTCTAAGGAAGATGACCAGACCACCCACCTGTAAGGAAGATGACCAGCCCACCCACCTGTAAGGAAGATGACCAGACTGCCCTCCTCAAAGGAAGATGACCAGACCACCCACCTCTAAGGAAGATGACCGATCCACCCACCTCTAAGGAAGATGACCATCCCACCCACCTCTAAGGAAGATGACCAGACTGCCCACCTCAAAGGAAGATGACCAGACCACCCACCTGTAAGGAAAATGACCAGCCCACCCACCTCTAAGGAAGATGACCAGCCCACCCACCTCTAAGGAAGATGACCAGCCCACCCACCTCTAAGGAAGATGACCAGACCACCCACCTCTAAGGAAGATGACCAGCCCACCCACCTCTAAGGAAGATGACCAGACTGCCACCCACCTCTAAGGAAGATGACCAGACCACCCACCTCTAAGGAAGATGACCACCCACCCACCTCTAAGGAAGATGACCAGCTCACCCACCTCAAAGGAAGATGACCAGACCACCCACCTCTAAGGAAGATGACCAGCTCACCCACCTCTAAGGAAGATGACCAGCCCACCCACCTCTAAGGAAGATGACCAGACTGCCCTCCTCAAAGGAAGATGACCAGACCACCCACCTCTAAGGAAGATGACCAGCCCACCAACCCCTAAGGAAGATGACCACACTGCCCACCCCACCTCTAGGGAAGATGACCAGCCTGCCCACCTCTAAGGAAGATGACCGACCCACCCACCTCTAAGGAAGATGACCAGCCCACCCACCTCTAAGGAAGATGACCAGCCCACCCACCTCTAAGGAAGATGACCACCTGCCCACCTCTAAGGAAGATGACCACACTGCCCACCTCTAAGGAAGATGACCGACCCACCCACCTGTAAGGAAGATGGCCAGACTGCCCACCTCTAAGGAAGATGACCAGCCCACCCACCTCTAAGGAAGATGACCAGCCCACCCACCTCTAAGGAAGATGACCAGCCCACCCACCTCTAAGGAAGATGACCAGCCCACCCACCTCTAAGGAAGATGACCAGACCACCCACCTCTAAGGAAGATGACCGACCCACCCACCTCTAAGGAAGATGACCAGACTGCCCACCTCAAAGGAAGATGACCAGCCCACCCACCTGTAAGGAAGATGACCAGCCCACCCACCTCTAAGGAAGATGACCAGCCCACCCACCTCTAAGGAAGATGACCAGCCCACCCACCTCTAAGGAAGATGACCAGACTCAACCCTCCTAAGGAAGATGACCAGCCCACCCACCTCCTAAGGAAGATGACCCACCCACCCACCTCTAAGGAAGATGACCAGACCACCCACCTCTAAGGAAGATGACCAGACCACCCACCTCTAAGGAAGATGACCAGCCCACCCACCTCTAAGGAAGATGACCAGACCACCACCTCTAAGGAAGATGACCAGCCCACCCACCTCTAAGGAAAATGACCAGCCCACCCACCTCTAAGGAAGATGACCAGCCCACCCACCTCTAAGGAAGATGACCCACCCACCCACCTCTAAGGAAGATGACCAGACTGCCCAACCTCTAAGGAAGATGACCAGCCCACCCACCTCTAAGGAAGATGACCAGACTGCCGACCTCAAAGAAAGATGACCAGACCACCACCTCTAAGGAAGATGACCAGCCCATCCACCTCTAAGGAAGATGAAAAAGGAAGATGACCAGCCCACTCACCTGTAAGCAAGATCACCAGCCCACCCATCTCTAAGGAAGATGACCAGACTGCCCTCCTCAAAGGAAGATGACCAGACCACCCACCTCTAAGGAAGATGACCAGCCCACCAACCTCTAAGGAAGATGACCAGCTCACCCACCTCTAAGGAAGATGACCGACCCACCCACCTGTAAGGAAGATGACCAGAGTGCCCTCCTCAAAGGAAGATGACCAGACCACCCACCTGGAAGGAAAATGACCAGCTCACCCACTTCAAAGGAAGATGACCAGCCCACCCACCTCTATGGAAGATGACCAGACCACTCAGCTGTAAGGAAGATGACCAGACTGCCCACCTCAAAGTAAGATGACCAGCTCACCCACCTCTAAGGAAGATGACCAGCCCCCCAACCGCTAAGGAAGGTGACACACACACTCACCTCTAAAGGAAGATGACCAGACTGACCAACTCTAAGGAAAATGACCAGACTGCCCACCTGTAAGGAAAATGACCAGACCACCCACCTCTAAGGAAGATGACCAGCCCACCCACCTCTAAGGAAGATGACCCACCCACCCACCTCTAAGGAAGATGACCAGCCCACCCACCTGTAAGCAAGATGACCAGCCCACCCACCTCTAAGGAAGATGACCAGACTGCCCTCCTCAAAGGAAGATGACCAGACCACCCACCTCTAAGGAAGATGACAGCCCACCCACCTCTAAGGAAGATGACCAGACTGCCCTCCTCAAAGGAAGATGACCAGACCACCCACCTCTAAGGAAGATGACCAGCTCACCCAACTCTAAGGAAGATGACCGACCCACCCACCTGTAAGGAAGATGACCAGACTGCCCTCCTCAAAGGAAGATGACCAGACCACCCACCTCTAACGAAGATGACCAGTCCAACAACCCCTAAGGAAGATGACCACACTGCCCACCTCTAGGAAAGAAGACCACACTGCCCACCTCTAAGGAAGATGACCGACCCACCCACCTGTAAGAAAGATGACCAGCCCACCCACCTCTAACGAAGATGACCAGCCCAACAACCCCTAAGGAAGATGACCACACTGCCCACCTCTAAGGAAGATGACCACACTGCCCACCTCTAAGGAAGATGACCGACCCACCCACCTGTAAGAAAGATGGCCAGACTGCCCACCTCAAAGGAAGATGACCAGACCACCCACCTCTAAGGTAGATGACCAGACTGCCCACCTCTAAGGAAGATGACCGACCCACCCACCTCTAAGGAAGATGACCAGACTGCCCACCTCAAAGGAAGATGACCAGACCACCCATCTGTAAGGAAAATGACCAGCTCACCCACCTCTAAGGAAGATGACCAGACTGCCCACCTCTAAGGAAGATGACCGACCCACCCACCTCTAAGGAAGATGACCAGCCCACCCACCTCTAAGGAAGATGACCAGCTCACCCACCTCTAAGGAAGATGACCAGCCCACCAACCTCTAAGGAAGGTGACCCACCCACCCACCTCTAAGGAAGATGACCAGACTGTCCAACTCTAAGGAAAATGACCAGACCACCCACCTGTAAGGAAGATGACCAGACTGCCGACCTCAAAGAAAGATGACCACACCACCACCTCTAAGGAAAATGACCAGCTCACCCAACTCTAAGGAAGATGACCAGCCCATCCACCTCTAAGGAAGATGAAAAAGGAAGATGACCAGCCCACTCACCTGTAAGCAAGATGACCAGCCCACCCACCTCTAACGAAGATGACCAGCCCAACAACCCCTAAGGAAGATGACCACACTGCCCACCTCTAAGGAAGATGACCACACTGCCCACCTCTAAGGAAGATGACCGGACACATCTACCTTCCATCGTCGCGCAGCACGTCATATCCGGCGGTTAACACATAGGTCAAAGGTAAACCTTTGTACTCCGCGTTATCGGCCATCAATGGCGCGAAGTAGGGGTCAAGGACAGTGTCTTCAATTGTCGAAAAAAGTTTTTCGTTTCCGAAATCGGTGGGTTTAGAGGGTGACTTCAAACTCTCAGTCCTGATATGCTCCTTCATGTAGTATTTCGGGCTAATCCTTTCCGCGTATTTCGACTTTTTTGACAGCAGATGAGGTGTGCCTGTTGGCGAGGATGTCGTCCATATGGTCGTAGCTGATGTTGCCATAGTTCAGCCAGTAGGACAACATGGAGACGTCGTTCAGCATTCCCGGGATGTACATCCTGTTCTCGATGTAGGATGGAGTCTGGAGATCCAGCAGCTGTAAACAGGGATATATCGGAACTTGGATCTTGATCTTCTTCTTCAGGCGGAGGGCCACAGCGGCAGTCAGATGTCCTCCGGCGCTGTCACCAGATATCGCTACGCGGGTCGGATCTATCTTTAGTTTGACGGCGTTGTTTAAAACATACTCCGTGGCGGTGAGGCAGTCTTCAAAAGGGATTGGATGAGCATGCTCGGGAGACTGACGGTATCTGTGAAAGGCAAATATATTTATTTTGTGTGACATTGATACAGTGTCGGCTGACTTTGGTTTAGAGTAAATAAGGTTCAAATATCCTTTGATTGTCCAGTTATCTAAAACGCCACAATTTGCTATACAGACCAGGAACCTATGATTGAACCTCGGTTTGTAGTACAGGGCCTGTGTTCGTAGCAAGTAACATACGTGGGGCTGTCACGTTAAGCTGTCGCGCTGAAATAACTGGAATGCTATCATGTTAAATGCCAGCTCTGTCTCTCAGCCCTGTGCCCTTAAATGCCCTGTAAGATGATACAATACGAAATACAGGGCTACATGGTCCACTCTGACACACATTAGTTTTTTATGTGAGTTTTAGGACACTAACGCATAAAAGCTTCCAAAAAGTTTTGAAAAGATATCCATTTGATCTTGCTCAGTAAAAAATGTATATACGGTATGGTTTGCCCCTTTCAAGATGGCGGCACTCAAGACAATGACTGCGGGTAAGGGACGTTTACCGTACTTACCCTACTGACACCACGACCATGGACACTCTCTTGGCCAGCTCCCTCATTGTCGGGTCGTACACATCTGGAAACATCATCAACTCATAATGGCTTTTTGTTTTGTTTGCTATTTACACTCAGCAACATTCCTGTTATGCGAATTCTTCACGTAACACGTGACCTCATTATGTCACGATGAGTTGTCTTTCCAAAAACCGTGTACTACCAATAAGGATCCCCAAGATTAAGCATCTGTTTCTTGAAGACAACCAGCAACTGATTCGGTAACAGAGACATCTTGTGCTTCTGGAATCTAAGCAACTATAGTCATATAAAACTCATTTGCGAAATTTCACAACATGTAATAGTCACCACCAAGACTTGTCATGTGTCATGTGTCATGATGACAGGTAAGTATGAACCTACCTATAGACAGCCAGGACCAGCCACCATCACGTTTTGTGTCATGTGTCATGGTGACAGGTAAGTTGTTGGAACCTACCTATAGACAGCCAGGACTAGCCACCATCACGTCATGTGTCACGTGTCATGGTGACAGGTAAGTTGTTGAAACCTACCAATAGACAGCCAGGACCAGCCACCATCATGTCTTGTGTCATGTGTCATGGTGACAGGTAAGTTGTTGGAACCTACCTATAGACAGCCAGGACCAGCCACCATCATGTCTTGTGTCATGTGTCATGGTGACAGGTAAGTTGTTGGAACCTACCTATAGACAGCCAGGACCAGCCACCATCACGTCATGTGTCATGGTGACAGGTAAGTTGTTGGAACCTACCTATAGACAGCCAGGACCAGCCACCATCACGTCATGTGTCATGGTGACAGGTAAGTTGTTGGAACCTACCTATAGACAGCCAGGACTATTCCACCATCACGTATCATGTCATGTGTCATGGTGACAGGTAAGTTGTTGTAACCTACCTATAGACAGCCAGGACCAGCCACCATCATGTCTTGTGTCATGTGTCATGGTGACAGGTAAGTTGTTGTAACCTACCAATAGACAGCCAGGACCAGCCACCATCATGTCATGTGTCATGTTGGAACCTACCTATGACAGGTAACCATAGACAGCCAGGACCAGCCACCACCACGTCATGTGTCATGGTGACAGGTAAGTTAACCTACCTATAGAGACAGCCAGGACCAGCCACCATCACGTGTCATGTGTCATGAACAGCCAGGAACCTACCTATAGACAGCCAGGACCATTCCACCATCACGTCATTGTGTCATGGTGACAGGTAAGTTGTGAACCTACCTATAGACAGCCAGGACCAGCATCATGTCTTGTGTCATGGTGACAGGTAAGTTGTTGTAACCTACCAATAGACAGCCAGGACCAGCCACCATCACGTCATGTGTCATGTGTCAGGTCAAGGTAAGTTGTTGTAACCTCCTACCAATACCAACAGGACCAGCCACCACCAGCCACCATCGCGTCATGTGTCATGTGACAGGTAAGTTGCTGGAACCTACCTATAGACAGCCAGGACCAGCCACCTCCATGATAATACACCAACACCGGTCTGTCGGTTCCAGAACAGGACTTGGGCTCGTAGACCCTCACGTCCACGCCGTCATACTGGGTGTCCGTTATCTGGAGGTAAATAATAAGGATAAAATTTAGTGGACTAATAATTAAAGCATACGAATGCCTTCAGTGCCTTCGTTTGCTTCGATGCCTCGGGTATTTTCTCGGTATTTCAATAATTTTCTTGTTACTTCGAGTATTTTCGCCTTACGTCAAGTTTCTGTCAAAAGCTTGAAATTTGGAGTATATAAGAGAGAATCATCGAAGCAACGAAAAAATAATTGAAGTAACTAAGATTTCGAAAGAAAATTGAAACAACGAGGAAATACTCGAAGCGACGAGAAATTAATCGATGAAACGAGTATATACTTTGAAAATACTCGATCATATTGGTATCACATGTGCTTGTTGCTGTTGGTACAATGTGTGAAGCCTGTGTGTCCCCCGTCGTGATGTTGCTCGAATATTGCTAAACACGGCGTAAAATCATACTCACTCAGTCACATGTGTATTTTAACTATTCGTGTACCGTTAGACCTTGCAGAAATCCAACTAAACCAGTCTATGATCTCTTGTCTGTTTGGGTTTTTTCCAGATATTCATTTTCGCCACTAAGTAAACTAACCCGCCTTAATAGCATGGTCGCCTATGGTGGCATGCACGAAATATTATAAAAAATAATTCTTTCAAAACTCCACGTTTTCTTCTGTTTATCGATTCCATCTAGCATGGAATGTTACGCCAAGACTGGATTATTTTGCGTCGTAAAGCTGGAATATTGCTGAGTGCGGCGTCAAACAAAACAAACAACGTTGAGTACCTTTAGTTCTGGATCGTCGCCTTTCCCGAAAGGACTTCCGGTGATGAGTGTTGTCAAGACGACGTCAACCATCTTCCTGGTGAACCACGTGACACCGCCGGTAACGCCGAAATCATGGAGGGATAGTATCTGTCACGTGAGATATACTCAAATATTAATATACTGTCTGTCTCTGAGTGTATCTGTCTACCTGCATTATCAATTATCAATACATACTAGTTTGTACTCGTCAAGATCACTGTCTTGGTTGACACGTGTCATCGTATCCCAATTGCATAGGTCGGTCGCTCATGCTCAATACTATACTCTGGATTGTCTGGTTCAGACTCCATTATTTACAATATTATACGCCGCCAATAAAGCCGAAGTATTGCTGAGTTGCGCTCCAGGAGTGAAGGTTTGGATTGACCCATGGGTTACACATATGTACAACAAACATAACAAAACCAAACCTACCAGTTTCCCATTAGTCCTGAGTGCAGCGTCCAGGATCCTGGCGTTCCACACTTCCGGCACGCCCTCGGGAACAGCCGTGTCCAGGTAGCGAAACAAGCCAAACGCCAGGTAAGCGGCCACTGTGGCCGTCAGCAGGTGCTTCAGTACGCCCATCTTGATAATGATAACCTGCGTCATAAAACAACATGCCATGATATCATCTCTAGGTTTGGCAGCACGATGGCTTGTGGATTCCACTAAAATGTGACATATGCGAAGGCTGAGTGGGTCAGGCGGCTGGCGTTGAGTGCTGGCGACTAGCTAAGTGCTTGACTTCAAGGATGTGGGTTTGAATCCTGGATTGGATTCAACCCCAAAAGCTGCTAGAATCTGTACATAACTGAGAATATCCCAAATATAACATGCGTTACATTTGACCGCTTTCTAAATGGCATTGTGTATTCATCCACTAGAGTGGTAAACAAATAAGACATGCATCAAGGGTATTCATGCATTACAGCTACTCGGGAACGGGAATTTGTAAAATGCAAAAACTGGGACATTTTCGTTGATCATTGTTTTTCAGATGTCGTGTAGTGTACTGTTTCCACTGAGAGGTATGATGGAATAACATAACAGACAAGTTCCTGTTGAGTGTATATTTATGTGCTTGATAAATTTCGGATACTTGTTACTATGTTTGAATGCACAATTCCATTTAGAAAGTATGGCTACAAATCCTGCTAGGGTTCATGAGGGAAGCCAAGGCACTGTAAGTCCCCATGATCCCCAGTAAGGTGGTCTGGCTTTGTTGACTAGTGGTATATAACTCGTATTTTTATGGTATTACATGTAATATTGATAGTATTTTATTATTTGATATGGTTAGTTTTTAGATTCAAATTATGATAACGTGCTATCGTTTTAGTTTCCTTTGCGACAGATATTTCTTATAGTTAAACCAAATGTTTCTCGTCATTATATGGCCGATATTTAACTCACTCACTCACTAACCCAATTAGAAAGTGGTCAGAACATGCTATATTTGGGATTACTCTTTCTCAGTAGTCACGATATGGCTGAGATATTGCCGATGCGACATTAAATATTAACTCACTCTTTCTCAGTAGTCACGATATGGCTGAGATATTGCCGATGCCATGTTAAATATTAACTCACTCACTCACTCTTTCTCAGTAGTCACGATATGGCTGATATATTGCCGATGCGACATTAAATATTAACTCACTCGTTCTCAGTAATCACGATGTGACTGAGATATTGTCGATGCCATGTTAAATATTAACTCACTCACTCACTCTTTCTCAGTAGTCACGATATGGCTGAGATATTGCCGATGCGACATTAAATATTAACTCACTCTTTCTCAGTAGTCACGATATGGCTGAGATATTGCCGATGCCATGTTAAATATTAACTTACTCACTCACTCTTTCTCAGTAGTCACGGTATGGGTGAGATATTGCCGATGTGACGTTAAATATTAACTCACTCACTCACTCTTTCTCAGTAGTCACGATATGGCTGAGATATTGCCGATGCCATGTTAAATATTAACTCACTCTTTCTCAGTAGTCACGGTATGGCTGAGATATTGCCGATGTGACGTTATAAATATTTATTCACTCATGGGATGGGTTATTTACAGACTTCCGCCATATAGCGGGAATGTTGCGGAGTGTGGTGTTAAACACACCAACGAACTGTGCCTGCTCATGTGGATACAAACCTGAGAACCTCTGACATTATGTCCAAGATATGCCACTGAAAGACATCTCTGACATTATGTCCAAGATATGCCACTGAAAGACATCTCTGACATTATGTTTTTATGTCGCAACTATTCCCGTCTTCGTACTAATATGAACCACTACAAATGTGAATTGGATTCAGTATTATATGGAAATGCTAACAAAACTACTGAAGCAAACCTTAATTGCATACGATTTGGCATGTTAAATATTTGTCAACAGTTCCAGTATATTTAGTGACGTGTACTCTCTCAATTCTTGAATGCTTTGTAGGGAGAGGTGCATAGGCCTTGGCTGTGTATCCGTGAGTCCCATTCCGTTCAGGAAATAATTCACTACGACTATCTTTATCTACAAATTCGTATATAACAGTAGGTTTTTAAATGGACTATTACTGACGCTCTGTGCCGTATGAAATATATAAGAAGTCATTTTATCGCCTGCTGTTAAAGAATTGAATAATGTGGACGAAAACCTAACTCATACACAATCAAACTCTTCATTTTAAAGACGTTAGTGTACCAATAATAATAGTAACATTAAAGGTGTTTGGAACACGAATAAATATAATTATTCAATATAACGTAAAGACTTTGGGTTAGTAAGTAAGTGAGTGAATATAGTATAACGCCACCTTTAGCAATATTCAAGCAATATCAGGGCGGGGGACACCAGAAATGGGCTTCACATATTGTATCCATGTGGGGAATAGAGCAGGGCCGTCGGCATGAAGAGCGAAGGCTTTAACCACTAGGCTAACCCACAGCCCCCTCAAGACTTGGATGTTCGACATCCTCTTCAGTGACCAACATATACGTATTTTAAGCTCGAGCGACCGTTTAGATATGAACACCCTTCTTTATTGTAATTATCTTTTGAAAATAATCTAATTTCTTAGACTGAATTAACACGTTTATTAATTGTGGTCATGCACTGTACGTTAAATAGTACGTACGCTATTCCAGTAGTGTCGAGTAGTGGTGGTCCGATTAATTGAAATAATCGAAGATTGGTCGTAGTGACTAAACGACCAAGCAATCGATCACAATTTCTCATAATCGAACACAACCAATTCTGGAACACTTGTTTTCATTAACAATATTTTTCACATGGTTGGTTTTGTCTGTTACATTTCGTAAGCACTGCAAGCTCGTTTCAAGTCACGATAGAATTTATCTTAAAGATTCCAAGAAATTTATGTTCCTAACATACTAGTCATCCTTTAAAGATGTGAAATTTTGCCAAAAAATCCCCAAAGAACTAACTGCATTTTACCTTATTTTTGTGTGCATTAACAAATTTCATAAATGATGCTAACCAATTATTTTCGATGATTGATCGGTAGTAATGAACCAATGAACAATTATGAGATTTTAACCAATTCCCAACACTAGTGTCGAGGCATCTTATACAAATATATCCCAGTAAGTTAAGTATACAGTATGCCAGTACGAACCCATATAGCTGTATATTTCTTACCTTTTAGGTCACTAGCTGGAGACCTTCCCAACACTGTCTTCAAGCGTGTGGTGAGTTCCCACAAGAGCAACCCGTATATCTTCTGAAGGTAATGATTACTCACCTATCTGCGATACAGCTATCAGCGAGTATGGTTAGGTCGATAAGCCTTGGCAGGTAAACTAAACCGTCAATAGTCGTTACACAAACATAAGATGTCGACAGTGATGCAACAATTCAAGTCGTCGCTGTTACATTGTATTCATAGTCAGATATATAGGTTATCCCGCGAGTATGTTTTTTTGGGGGTCCCGTTTTGCCGGACGCTTTTGTTCGGAATAAAAAATCACTGATGCGCGATAATCCCTATATCAATAGGGGATTAACTTATAGTCTGTTTCGATATAACAAACGGTCAAACTCACTATACTTCATCTCGATTTGTTTCATTTCAGGAATTCTATATATTCTGGTATATGCCTCTGGGGTGTAAGCCCCACTCACGAGACGCACCTTCAGCACTGCAAGACGATCATCCAGGGCCCAATGCAGCTTCTTCCTGTGACGTCTGGAAACGCCGTTCTGCAGCTTAGAAATTGCAAGGTGACGAAGGTTTTCATCCGTAGCAAATATCATGATCTTGTTGTAGTCAGTAGCATGGAGCAGGAAGTCTGCATGGGTAGCCGTCTTGGTGAAGTTGTCGGGGAGATGTCGTCGCGCGCGCCGGCGTGGCACGTTTGGCATTTCCTTGGCTCGAGATCGGTAGAAAGGAACTGCTTCGGGAACATCTCTCCGGAGTTCTGGAAACAAAAACATAATATATATAACAAATAAAATATACAAAGATAGAATATACAATTAGAAATTAATGTAATAATGAGTTCGAACTCAGCTGCCAAACGCTCATGTCCCCGAAATGAAACTACGGGTGACAACTACTCATTGAAAACCGACTATAGCCGGCAACCTACCGGACCGTTACTTTTAATCCGTTATCATCACATCAGCTGTCCGGCAAAGTGGAGGGTTCCCGTTTTGCCAGACGCTTTTGTTCGGAATAAAATATCACTGATGCGCAATAATCCCTATATCAATAGGGGATTGCCTTATAGTCTGTTTCGATATAACAAACTGTCAAACTCACTATACTTCATCTCGACTTGATTTGGGGATGGTTAATATCCTGCATTAGGAATAAGCTTTGTATTTAGCTAACAACAAACTTGTGTGGACTTCAGAAACCTTCAATTAACCTTTTGAACAACAAATGCACTTTAATGTTAGCGTGACATTCTGCACCTGGATTCCTGTACCGTACGCTCGCAAACACTGACAGTCGGTCGGGGAACTGGCGTTGGTGTCTTCGTAACCCTATGAATTTCTGTCTTCGCTTCGTAATTCACTCCATCTCTCACATAACCAGACATGTATTTTCTTGGATCCAAGCACTGACAGTACTGCAACCACACATAACATATTGTAGTTAATACATTGAATATTGAATACACGTGTCAGGTGGATTTAAGTACACACATTGAAGCACCCCGACCATTCTTCGTGGGTTGTGTTGTTCTGGTGGAATTGTTCCCTGATTACGTGACACGACGGTCTACAGACACGGTGAGACACGCCAGGCCTGTATCACTGGAATAACCACTGGTATGTTTGTTGACATTCACTAACAGCCCATAGCGTTGACATAGCAATATGCTGGTGATAAAGACTGTGTTATTTTCAATTTCTTTCCACAGCTTGATTACCCAGGACCATTGACGCGGTCACTAGGATGTAAAATTATACTGGACAAAATAAGTGAGGGATATTATTATTTTTATGATTGATATTTTATCAATGTGTCAATGAATAAATACATCATTATTCATAATTTCAAAATGTACATATATCCATATATTTTGTCTAGTATATAATAAGTACCACGCGCTAAATGTCAAGTATCCTTTTCTGTACCTTGTTTATTATAGCATTTCCCCCTTAATTGTCCATCTTCCTGTGTGTCTGTTATAAATAGACATATCAGTACAATCGCCAATGGCTGAAGGGATGGTATAAATCCAGCTAGGGTCTATGCAGGTAGCCAAAGTACTGTAAGTCCCTATGGTCGCTAGAGTGGTGATCTACCTTCAGTTGTTGGTGATCCTCCGCCTTTTATATTGTATTGTCCTAATTTGAAATCCTCTTTTAGTGATATATGCTAGTTTTATTTCTTGTTACTGTGATATACTAGTTGGTTTTACTGTCCTTCGTCGACAGGTTTTTAAACTTTGTGCATTTATCATGAATTTACAACTATTTTAAGTCACAATATGGTGGAAATATTGCCGATGTAACTGTAAGTTTTAACTCATTCACTCACTGTTTAAATAGTTACTTATGATGCGTTATTTTAAAATATTCCTGGAGAGATGTTTTATAAGTAACTGTTGTAAGAACGTGTCACCTATTTTTAGTTTGCGAATTAAAGATGTTTAAACTGAACAAAATGTCCCCGTTGTAGGAGCGTGTCCAGTTACACAACACATTATGTGCAGCGGACTGCGAGGCTTGCTCGGGGATAGTCTTGAACACACAGTGTCATTTTGAAAGTTGTCAGATGTTAAATATGTCATTTTGAGGATTACACTTTATCGTTAAAGTATAAATTCTTGTACTTTTGTTAGGTTGAGTCCCATCCCGGATTCGAACCCACACTCTCAGAGTAAGGCACCTAATCGCCAGCACACAAAGTCGGTTATCTGACCCGCTGAGCGTGATTTTAGAAGGAGCGGGGGAATGAATATGGTCACATGATTAAATGTTATTGGAAGAATATGGTATATGCTGGGTATTTTAGTTAACGTTTCTACATACTATCTCATATATCGTTTATATTGACACGAAAACAGTAAATGCACCATCGTGTTTCAGGTCCATCACTGAATTTACTGTCAAGTGTTGATCGTTTACAAGAGTGAGTTAGTGAGTTGAGTTTTACGCCACACTCAGCAATATTCCAGCTATATGGCGGTCGATCATCGATCTACGCAACTGAGATACGATGACATGTGTCAACAAAGTCAGCGAGCCTAACCACCCGAGTCCCGTTAGACAAGCATGGGTTACTGAAGATCAATTCTAACCCGGACCTTCACGAGTGTGTTTACAAGAATATATGTGTGATACAATAATAATAATAATAATAATATAATAATAATAATATATTCACTCAAGTTGCCATATGACAGGAGTATGGCATCAGGAAACCAAAAACACACGGTTTTTAGGGGAGGAGCACGTGAAAACACGATAAGCACTTTCTTTTCATGAACACTTGGTAATGATTGTGTGAAGTGGATAAAAGGTTCGGACTTTAAATTAAAAAAGAATTAAAGAAAATGGTTATATGTAAGTATACAGCGATAAACAATGTAGGTCTTAGTCACAACACCGTGTGCACTTTTGTCCTTATCTTGTTAACATGCAGATGTGACATATTTTGGGTAAAAGTACATTTCCTTCGAAATTGTCAGTTTGTGTCATGTAAAGCAGCAGCAGAATTCAGATGATTTTGATCTCAATGAAAGATTTAAGAAACAAATTGCCTGTATACCCCAGTGAGTTTATTCCGTTTCAACTTGTTACCTGCCTTATAACCGAGCGACACGCCACAAATACATTTCGCTGGAAGCATTCATAAAATCTCCAAAATTGCAATTATCACCATCATGAGTGAGTGAGTAAGTTTAGGTTTACGCCGCTTTTAGTAAAATATTCCATCAATATCACGACAGGGGACACGAATAAGTTTAGTTTTACGCAGTGTTAAGCAATATTCCAGCAATATCACGTCGGGGGGAACACCTCAAATGGGCTTCACACAGTGTACTCATGTGGGGAATCGATCCCGGGTCTTTGGTGTGAAGAACAAACGCTTTAACCACTAGACTACCCCACCGCCCTATATCCAAACAAGGGGTCCATCATACATTTTGTCATTTCTAGAGCACCTCGTAGGATATATGTATGTGATACGTAGGTTTAATGTCAAACGTACGAGATAGACATATTACCTGTAATATCATGTTACACGGGCACATACATACAAGCTGATAAACATTCATGAACGTAAGTTATTATTTGCGACTTGCTGGCTTTAGCTTCAACTGCTGATAATTTAACTGTGGACATCATTATCTTATTGTATGTGTTATATCTCTGTGTGTGTCGTCCTCTTCAGTTACACGTTTTCGCAGTTGTTTTTATCAACTGGAATGGGTCATTCCATCACAGTTAGATGCCAAGGATGAGCGTTTATCTATAAATTAACACAGATTCCCGTGTGCAGGTTCCTGTGAAACTACCCTTCCTTCGCTAGACCACAACCCATTTTATTGTTAAATCAAAAGAATTGCTCATACAGTTTGAAAATTGGTTAGGAAATAAAACCGTAACTCAGTTTGTCACATATTTCAGATCGTTAATTCTTCGATACCCCAGGGATAGTATGTTGGTAAGCCGTCTCTTTCTTCTATAAACCAACACATCTACTTCCTGAAAGAATTGCATGGCTATCACACAGCTCACAAATACAATAGTATTACAATAGATCCGATCGTGTTACGACAAGCTGAAGACCACTCCTAACCCGGACCTTCACGGGTTAATGTGTACAGGGATGTAGCAGGTCAGTTTGGTGTGTTTCCCCTGAGTGACATCCTGTCAGGAAGACGACTTCCTTTATTTCTTTGCTTGTCCATTGTGTAGCAACAGGACACAGACATCACGGCGCAGCACCATCTTCCGTCGCAGCTGCTGCATGGTGCATTGTTCTTGTATCTGTTTCTTCCTGGCTGGTGAACACAAATATATATATATATCCCTTTAGTAGCTGGCCGCCACCGTCACACAACAACTGCCCTCCCTTTAGAAGCTCTAGAGCACTAACGGGATCGGGTAGTCAGACTCGCTGACTTGGTTGACACATGTCATCGTATCCCAGTTGTGTAGATCGATGCTCATGCTCTTCATCACTGGATTGTCTGATTCAGACTCGATCGTTTACAGACCGCTGCCGTATGGCTGGAATATTGCTGAGTGGGGCGTAAAACTAAACTCACTCACTCACTCTAGA